GCAGGAAGAAAAAAAGTCCCTCCCTCCTCCAACACAAACAGCATCAGGTTGTTTTCCAGCAGGAAAGAAGCTCCTGAGCTGCAGGGCACCTCCACCTGCTCGGGGTCCCCTCATGGCTCGGTTACCAGGATGCCTCCTCCCTCAGGTTTAAGGTGGGGGCCGTTCGGGTGCACAGGGATGGACATGGGGACACACAGATGGACAAGGGGACACCCCCAGCCACTCCAGAGCAGGCATCTTCCACAGACACAGAAGTCTTTCACCAGCAGAGCCAGCTCCTGTGTGACAGGAGGGCTGGGTTTGGAGAGGAAGGGGCCCTTTCAGGCACTCTAAAGCCCTGCTACGGGCACATGGGTCACTTGCCACGCAGCCCACACCATGCTGCCACCCAAATGAGACCTAAAAACACCATCATCAGCAATGCCTGACCTCGGGTTGCTTGGAAAGCCCTCTGGAGAGCACCACAAGCTCACTGACACTCAGCTGGAAGCCACCTCCCTGCCCTGCTGGCCGATACCTCTGGTGTTACCCAGAGCACCCTTCCTGGGGAGCAGTGCCAAGCAGAGGGGCTGGTGCCCACCCGCCCCAAGGAGCCTCCACAGCTTTGGGAGCAGCCTGGTCCTCACAGCAGTTTCAGTGGGGTCTAAGCTACACTCACAAACCCCAGTCCCCACAGAAATGTCCTGGGCACAGGCAGAGCAGCACATTCACCTCCAGCACTGCCTCGCATCAGCACAGCACACACAGGTTGAGAAACCACCCAAACCAAACAAGGCAGCAGCTCACATTGTTCCACCCCAGCTGCTCCCACCCTGTAACCCGAAGAGGGCCCAAGAAAGGCATAAACTCAAGAATCTCTTCCTGCCAAGGCTTTCCTTGCTTAGAAATACCACTAAGCAGAGCAGCACATGGCCCAGGAGAGGTGGAGAAGCATCTCCTACAAGATTCCAGTGGGGAGCTCTCTGCCCGGGCACAAAGCTTTTGGAGATTCCATCAGGGAGTGCTCTGCCCAGGCACAAAGCTGCTGGAGATTCCATAGGGAAGCTCTCTGCCCAGGCACAAAGCTTTTGGAGATTCCATAGGGAAGCTCTCTGCCCAGGCACAAAGCTGCTGGAGATTCCACAGGGAAGCTCTCTGCCCAGGCACAAAGCTGCTGGAGATTCCACAGGGAAGCTCTCTGCCCAGGCACAAAGCTTTTGGCGCTGCCAAGAACAATCTGGGAGTGTCACCACACTGGTGGCACAACCTTTATGGCACAGGAGCTTTGAAGGGAGAGTTCTTGGTGCCTGGGCTCTCAGAGAGGCAGTTCTGCCCAGGAGCACCCCAGGAGAGGTAGCTGAGCCACAACCCAGGCTTGGCCAGAAGCAGCAGGCAGCAACGCTGACCCCGCTGCACGGCCAAGCACAGAAGTCAACTCCCCAGCAAAAAAAAAAAAGACAAAGAAAGGATTAGAGCTACAAGGTGGAATCCAGCACATCCCCCTCCAACCCCTCCTGAGCTCTGGTACCTCACTGCTCTGTCCCACAGCTTAGCTTCAGCTGAACTGCACCATTCGTTTCCCCAACACAAAAAAAGCACCTAAAAATGAGGTTCCTCCTCGCTCTGTTCAGCTCCCTGCTCTCCTTAAAATACCACCTGAGGGCTCAGGTGCTCTGCAGGCTCCCAGCCTCCCTCCCACCCTCCTCTGAGCTCGCCCAGCCAACAGGAGTGACAATGAACAAGGCACAGTGCTCTACATTCACAGCAGCGGGCGCCTCGCCGCTCACCGGCCGTCACGAGTCCTTCCACAGTCCAGATTTGACCCAGAGCTGAGAGAAACCAGCCACCACTTTCTGGAGGGACTCACAGGTGCCTCCTCTGTGCTCCCACAGAAACTGGGAAAACAGCAGGGAGGGACACACCACCTGCCACCACTACAGGGGGACAGGGGACTACAACCCCACGCCCTGCCGGGGAGCTCCCGAGCTGCACTCACACGAGACACTGGGGGATTAAAAAACTCCACGTTGCTTTTACACCTCCCCTCCAGTCAGTCTCCATCCCAGCTCCACAGGATGGACTGATGACGTGTAGGGCTCTGGCAGCAGCGTGAGGAGCACGGTGTTGTGTTGAGGGCTGCACACTAGTAAGCACTGATCCCCAAGACAGCCCCTCTCTCTCTCTCCACGCCCCAATCCCTTTGGGATGCTGCCACGATATGCTTGAAAGGAGAAAAGCACCCCGTCTAACATCCCAGAAGGGAGTGCCTGGTGTTTTAGGTGATGGAACATGGACATTCTTAGCCACAGGCTGCAGAAATCCAGTTGCTGAGGGATTCTGGGGAGCAGAGATCCTTTCCAGCACTGTGGGTTCTCCAGCCCTTCCTGCCGTGGGGGAGCTGCTGCGGAGGGCTCCGGGTGCACGGCCCGTGCCAGGCTAGATCTTGTACAAGAAGCTGGGGACGTAGTCAAACCTGAGCAGGGGGCTCACCCCCTGGCCGGGCTCCTGAACGTACTGCAGCTTCAGCAGCTCTGCCAAGTACTGCACGATCCTGACGTCCTCGTTGGCCAGGCCCAGCTGAAGCTTCAGAAAGTTCATCCTGCGGCTGACGACGGATTCCTCCGGTTCCCTTTCACTGATGGGAAGGTGCAAGTGATGGCAGAAGGTGAAGAGGAAGGCTTTTGAACAGAGCTGCGTGAGGAGGCTTTGGACGTGCATGTAGTAGGTGCTGCCCCGTTTGATCTGGGTGCGGTGGTCGGCCAGGCGCGACACCACCGTGCCCCTGTAGAGGGGGCAGCGCAGCGTCTTGCTGTCGGCGTCCAGGATGCTGAGGTACCGGCTGTACCGGCTCAGGCCGTGCAGGACGCTCGCCCCCCCTGGAGACACCGTCCTGCAACAGCAAGGAGAGGGGTGAAGGCTGCAGGGGAGCCGTGTGGCAGCGGGCTGTGCCCGGGGGTCTGTGTGG